TAAGACTTGGTCACCAAGTTAGCAAGAGTCTTGGTGAATAAGACTTTGAAAAAATAAATAAATAAAATTTGAAGAAAAAAAAATAAGGTTTAGCTCATCATATAAAATCTAGCCCAAATTCCTTATTATTTATTCTTTGGCTTCTTCTTGTCTCTTTGTGCCCAATAAGTTTGAGCAATAGTATCCACATCCAAGAGAAATCAATGTGCATGTAAAAAACGGTGTCAAATTCAAAGTAAAGTTCATTGGTATTGTTGTTTTAAAATTTTAGTCTAGTTCTAGTCTTATTTTAGAAAATATTGTTTATGTATTGTTCATGAGGTGAAGTTTAGTTTCTTTTTCAAAACTAGATGAAGCTAGTTATCATTTTATTTTTTTTGTAATAAAAGAGCTGAACTCTTTCCTAATTCAAATTGCATTGGTGAATGTTTTCTTAGTGATGGACTGTACAAACTAAATTTATCTTGAAAAGTTTACCATTTTGACATTGAAAGGATTGGAACCAAAAGAGTTTTGACTAAGGAAAAATCTTCTTTCTTGTGGTATAAAAGGTCAGCTTATATTTCTAAAGAAAGAATTTGCTAGATTGGTTGAAAATGAAATTCTTCCTAATCTGGATTTTGATGATTTTAAAATTTGTGTAGATTGCATTAGAAGTAAGTTGACCAAAACAAGAAACCATGGTGCTACACATTCTGATAGTGTGCTAGAATTGATTGGCATCGACATTAGTGGGCCCTTGTCTCTCATCTTATGTCATAAAAGATCTTTTGTGAATTTCATAAATGACTTTTTCAAGTATGGCAATTCTACCTAATTGATCATAAGTTAGAAGCTTTGGACAAGTTTAAAAATTTTAATCCTAAAGTAGAAAAACAACTTAGGAAGCTTATAACGTTGTTAGGTCTGATCACGGTCACAAATACTATACAAAACATAGAGACTTAGGTCAATCGCAAAGACCTTTTGCTTGCTTCTTATAAACTTGTGGTATTGTAGCACAATATACAATACCTAGGACTGTTGAATAGAATGGTGTGGCTAAATGTCAAAATCACACTCTTAAAGGCATGATGAGAAGTATGATCAGTAGAAATAAGTTACCTAAAACTCTTAAAATAATAATGTATATTATAAACTGAGTATCTAGTAAATCTATTTCCCAAACACCTTTCAAACTATAACCTGGTAGAAAACCCAATTTAAATCATTTGAGAGTTTGGTGGAGTCTTGCAAAAATTAGGATTTGTAATCCTAATGAGAAAAGGCTTGATCCTAAAACAATACTTGGATCTTTTATCAATTACCTAAAAACTTCTAAAACTTATGGATTCTACCACCATTCCCTAAGTAATAGCACAAGGATTGTTGAATCCATGATAGCAAAATTTCTAAAGGAAGATATTGGGAATTGTGATGTTCAAGAGACAAGTTTATTGTTAAACAATCTCCAACAATTATGTAATTGCCTATTGTTGATGAAGAGATCATATAGATGTAAAGGAGTAAAATCCAAGAAGATGAGACAAAACAACCTGTATCCCCTAAAAAATTACAAGATATTTAGCCAAATCCTATAATTCCTATTAGTAGATCTCAAAGAGAAATGAGACTGTTATATCAGATGATTTGTGGTTTATTCAAAAGAAGTAAATTATGATATTGGGACACTTGTAGATACAATAACATTTTTTGAATTATTAGTAGTTTATAGTCAAAGAAATGATTGTTTGCTATAAAAGAGGAAATGCCATTTATGTATGGTAATGAAGTTTGGGAATTGGTGGAAATTCCTTATTGTTTTAAACCTATTGGTTGAAATTGGTCTATAAAACCAACGCAAAAGGAAAGCTTAATAGGTTCAAGGCTAGACTAGTTGCAAAAGGCCACACGCAAAAAGAAGGAATAGATTATAAAGAAACCTTATCTCTAGTCTCTCCTAAGGATTCCTTTAGAATTATAATGGCTTTACCAACACATTTTGATCTTGAGCTTCATCAAATGGACATTAGGACTACTTTCTTAAATGAAAACTTGTTTGAAGAAGTGTGCATGATGTAGCTTGAAGATTTTGAGGTAGAAGGAAATGAACACATGTGTAAGTTCAAGAAGTCTATTTATAGTTTGAAACAAGGTTTTATACAATGGTATCTAAAATTTCATAAGGTAGTCACTTCCTCAGGTTTTGTGGAGAATACTATTGACAATTCTATATATCTCAAGGTTAGTGGAAGTATGTATATTTTCTTAGTATTATATGTAGTGTGTATCTTTTCTTAATATTATATGTGGATGATATTTTACTTGCTTGTGGTGATATGGATTATTGTTCGATGCCAAAGGATGCTTTCTAAAACCTTTGACATGAAAGATCTAGTAGAGGTTGCTTTTGTTCGTGGAATGGAAATCTATATGGATAGATTTAAGAAGATGTTGTGACTTTCACAAAGAGCTTATATTAAGTGGGCTCTTGGTAGCTTTGGTTTAAATGATTGTAGACCATGTGTGACTCAAATAAATAAAGGGGACAAATTGACTAATGAACAATGTTGTGAAAATAATATTGAGAAAGAATGAATAAAGTTTTTTATATTAGTGTTGTTAGGAGTTTGATGTATTCACAGGTGTGTACGAGACTGAATATGGCTCTTGCAACTATCATTCTAGGCATGTATTTGTCTAATCTTAAGTATTGGATTGCTACAAAAAAAAAGGCCATGAGATATTTGTGTAAAACAAGATATCACATGCATGTTTATGGATAGGGTGAGAACTTAGAAGTAGTAGGATTTGCATTGGTTGGTTTAACTGGATGTACAAATGATAAAAAATCTACTACTACTAGTTATATATGTCTGCTTCTAGGTGGTGCTATCTCTTGGAAAAGTTATAAGCAAGTTCTTCTAGCAACTTCTACTATAGAAGTTAAGGTTATTGCATGTTTTGAAGCGAGGGGCCATGCCAAATGATTGTGAAATTTTATTACAAAATTGAAGGTGATTGATTCCATTTCTAAACCACTTGGAATTTATTGTGATAAATCTTTTGCTATATCATTTTCTAAATGCATAAAGAATATTAGTGGTGTCAAAATTCATAAAGTTAAAATATTTTAAAATCAGGTTATGGTTGATAATGGTGACACTGAGTATGAATATATTGGTACAGATGATATGCTTGCTAATTCACTAACCAAAGGACTTAGATCCATTGACTTTGAAAGACGTGAGAAACATGGGATTATCATTCTTTTTTGATATATTGGGTTAGTGGAGTTAATTAATGTTCTTTGAGGATGCTATGACTTTTTCAATATATACAGTAATAAAGTTCATATCACCATATTTTATTTTCTATTATGTGATCTTATTTTAATGCATATGTTGATTGTGAGCTACAATGATATATATATATATATATATGAGTAAGGATCTATTTTCACATAAATCTTACATACTACATTTACACAAAATCTCAACAATTCATCTCTTCATTTTCAATGGTTAAGATTTTTTTTACATTTATTAAAGATAATCGTCTTTTTCATCTAAAATATCATAACAAATTTCAACCATGAAAAGTAGAGAAATGAATTGTTGACATTTTGTGTATATATATATATGTCTGTATAAGACATAAAGATCAAAAAAACTTCCTTTGAAGTGAACTTTTTTGAAAGTACATTGTTTTTAACTTTTTTGAAAGCATTGGGAGTTTTAGTCCTAGGTTTCTTTGAAAGCGAAATAAATTTAAAGTCTTCCATTGAGAAACTATATAAGAA